CAAAAATAGGGCAGGCACCACATGGAAATAGAATGATGCAGGTTCACCTATTCTAGAAACAGATTTTGCCTTTATGATCTCAAAACTATGCCCTGCAGGTAAACATCAGCCAATTTCTCCTCAAATACTTCAGTGAAATTTTGAAGTTTATTACAGCTCTTAAAACACAATGCTATGCACTAAGGTCTAAATTGAACGATTTAGAAAGTATTATTCTTATCATTCATGTTATGATTTGCCAATCTTGAAGTTAATTTTTAAAATCCTATTATTTTCTTCTTTAAATGAGTGCTTAAATATTTATTAGATGATGATTATTAATTTTAGTGAAGCTTTAATTAGTTTAGTGAAGCATTTTTCATACGGAATAATCAAGTTAGGGTCTCCAAAACTGCCTACAAGAACCTAAGCAAATAGGGAATGAACTAGCTTAGCAGAACCAGAGATTTCATAATCCACCTGAGACATTAAAAAATTAACTAAAAACCAAAAACATGATGTGGGCTACCCAACACTTCTGTGTGGGCTGGATAATGGGTCACAAATTTGAAACTCCTAAACGAAAGCCTGGAACTATAATCTGAAGTTTTTTTCCAAATACAGTTGATTCCTGTTACAAAGAGTCTATATAATAGATTCTCTATAGATTTAAATTAGTACAAATTTGCTCACATATTGGCAATACCACTTACCTGGAGATTTGTCACATATCAAAATGTCCTGGGTAGAAGTTAATTATAACATATAAGTATGGCTTGTTTTACTTATAAATGGCTTGTTTTACTTATAAAACGATACATAAGTGTTTTAACTACATAAAAATGAAATACTACTACTGAACTGGCATTTTACCTGCTTAAGAAATCGGTTAGATGCGTTGCTGTGTTTGGCTAACACACTTGGCAGAGCAGGATTAGCATACTCAAACTGTGGATTGTAGGTATAGTCAGACTTGAAGAATCTCAGTTTCTCTTTCTCTAAGTTGGTAGGCTTTATAGCAGTCAATATGCAAAATTTTTTTCCAGAAAACTCATCTGCTTTTTCAAAGCTTCTACAGAACTGAGGCTGCTGCTTTGGCTTTGGAAGAGCGGAGAAATGGCGTCGCTTGACCTTGCTTTTTGGTTTAGGTGGCAGTATTAGGCTGTTCCCTGTAACAGAGATATCATGTGTAAACTTTACAGGACTTGACACTGACTTAGTGACAAAAACAGTAGGCTGCCTCTCCAGGCAGTACCAAGTACCAGTGCTTGCCACAGGCACTGGGGTTTTCGTCCTGCAAGGATCTTTACTATGAGGGGAGCTAGGAGATTTGCTGGGTTTTCTACATCTTTTGGAGTAGGTGGATGAAGACTGTTTTTGTAAATGATGCTTTCTCTCCTCCTTGCTTTGTAGTAGGACATTGTAACTACTGGTTCCAGTTGTGAAAATGTCCTTTAGTATTCCAGCAGGTAAATGTGAAAGGCTTCTTTTGCTGTCAATGATCAATGAATCTTCTGCATTTAGAATAGACTTCTTAGCGAGTTCTTGCTCAGGCCAGTGAAGTTTTTCTGTGTTAATAAACAAAACCAAAAAAGAAATAACAAAGATGCTAGATGAAGTAGATGAAGCAAATTGCTTATTATACAAAAAGTCTTCTGAAAATTCTATAAACCTTATGTTTTGCAACAATCTTTAGAAAAGATATTTTAAATAATAAGAATATATATTATAAACACTGTCACTTCTCTTCCCTTAGTGTATATATGTTAAATTATCTATAAAAATCCTCAGTTTCAAACCATTGAGATGACCAAGGTCAAATATAGCTGTGAGATAATACACATAAATAATCTGCATTCTCTACCAAAGAATGTGAATTTTATAGAAAGGATGTAGTATTATTAATATCAAAGTAAACTCCAAGGTGCTTTCAAAGTTAATTTAGTCTTGAAATTTGGAACTATATATAAAAATAGCCATCTACAGATGGACAACATGCCTTATTTACCTTGAAAAAAACAAGATTAAAGGGATGATATGTCTATCTTCAAGCATGTTTTAATAATGTTCAACATTAATAATTGGTTAATTTTCTTAATAATTCTAAACTGTAGCTTAAGGTTTTTTAGCAAATTTAAAAAACAATTACTATTCAAAGGGTTTCAGTGTATTCAGTTGCAAATTAACTTAAAGGGGGCAGCTTTGTCTTTAAATCTCACAAGCACTTTAAATAGATAAGGATTATTTATATACTGATGCTCATGTACTGATTTAAAACTGTGTTTATGTGTATTCTTTCATTCAACAAATTTATAAAACTCTACTAACTGACACATGGTGTAGGGCACCCCCTATCTCCATAGTAAAGTCTTAACTGGGCTTCTCCAGAAATCTTCACCATGGCTGATTTTAGGACTGTCGGCAAAAGAGTCTACAAAAGAGTTCGATGTAGATAAACTTCCAATTTTCGTGTTGCCCTGTTTTACTTGGCCACTGGCTGGGAAGAAATCCGCACTCCAGGTGCTGGACACCCCCTTACTAGTTTTTCACAAACATGTATCCATTATAGTAGTTTGTAGAAATATGTAACCAAGTCCTCAGGCCCTGAGTTGGGGCTTCACAGAGATGTCTATATTTCTAACATAAGAAAAGTTACTAATTGGGCTTCATGGTAACAGCTGGCAGGGGGAGGAAAGAAAGGGGAGAAGGTGGTCTTCCCTTCTCAGGTGCTGTCCTTGAAGGGTTAACTTGCCCAGAACACTGAAAGAAAAAAACTGCTTTTAAGTTAACCTCTGCAGACTGTGAATTTCTGAGCCCCTCCCCTGACATGCTGGGTATAAAATCTGAAACTACCTGAACTTGGAGTTCAGGGGATTGATTAATTAMAGCAAAAGCTGTGCCCTCTGAACCTGGCTGCAGCCAAATAAAACTGTTTCCTGCTGTCCTCGGTGCCTTGCTTTGTCTGTCTCTAGAACAATGGTTCTGGATAACTGACATGTCCATATAAATACATTGTTCC